GGCTCCTCTTGTGTGTGCAGTTTGGGGGAGATTAGAAGGAATTGCGTTGAGCTTCCCTGATCCTCACAGTCGTCCTCCTTCCAGTCTCTTCTCTCGTTTCGCACATGCTTTCTGAGAGGAAGCTTTAAAAGTCGCTTTTCCCCTGCTCCTCGGCGTTACTAGTGCAGGGGAGGCTACTGCTCCTGCTGCTTCTACTGGGGGGGCCTGAAGAGGAGAGGGAGACACAAGGACCCTTTAAAAGGAGCATGGCCCAAACACAGAGCGAGATTGTCAGCAGCCTTTCTCTGTGTGTTTGTGTTCACTGTTTGTTCCCCACGCCCCATGGTGTCTCCTCTCCAGGTTGGGGTGTGTGGTGGGGGGGTCGCTATGTCGGATGACGATTCGAGGGCCAGCACCAGCTCCTCCTCATCTTCATCCTCCAACCAACAGACAGAGAAAGAGACAAGCACGCCTAAGAAGAAGGAAAGCAAAGTCAGCATGAGTAAAAACTCTAAGCTGCTATCTACCAGTGCCAAGAGGTGAGGCTGCAGTCGGTTTTCTTACTGATTTGCTGCATCTTCTTTCTTTCCTTCTTTTATTTTGCTCTGTTCCCCCACTGCTCCCTTGCTGCTCCCATTCCTCATCTCCAGCCCTCAGCCTTTCCACATGAAGCTGCCATTGTCTCACTTTTTTCAGCGACTCGGTGCAGCAAGTGTCTGCCCAACTTCACTGCTCTTTCTTCCTGCTTTTTCCTCTTTCATCCCAAATATTCTCCTGCCTTTTCTTCCTCCAGGCTGTTATTCTCTCCCTCAGTTACTTCCCTGTCTTTTCCTTTTTCCTTGTTGGCATCACTTATAGGGATGGTGTAAGATTGGCGTGTAGGACCTTAAATCCTTCTCTGCTGCTGGAAGCTATGTGGTCCTGAGCAAGGCATTGCGTTTCACCATCAGTTTCCCTCTCTGTAGGTTGGGATTGATCTAGAGTGGCTTTTTGCTGCTTTGGGGATTAATTGATGTTTGTGAAGAGTTTTGAGTTTGCTTGCTGTGGGGGAGTGCACTCGAATGCTAGTGGTGTGAGATAGCCCCAGATATTTTCCACCAGATATTACTGTTTTGCTGTCTGATCATCACTTATAGTGAATTTTCTGTGTATGGTTGGATGTTGACTAGAATAAATAATCCACAGCAGGTCCGCTTGTGGACATTCTGCTCTAAAGTAGTCCAGAATAATGTGTACATGGGGGAGGGATGCCTGCATAGAATAGTAGTTTCAGAACAGCTACATCAGTCAGATTTCTTCACCTGGACAGACTCTTGGAGCCACTTAGTTTTAAAATCTAAATTGTTACCCTTTCCTGTTTATTGTGTGTTTCACCTGGTTCAGCACCGTCTTGCTCCAGGGAGCTAAACTGACAAATGGAAGTTTTCAAGCAAACTTGCAGTGCTTCAGTAAGAACAATAACCTGCCTCACTGAACAGTTTCGCCAGGCAGCACAGAAAGGGTGTATTTGTAAGTGTCAAAAGTGACAGGGGGTTTATGCAAATGTCCTGTCATTGCAACTAAGTTCTCTGTGGCTTTGCAGAATTTAGGCAGTTTGGTTATTCCAGATCTCCACTCAGCAGCTTCCCATGGCAAACTTGACATAGGTCGTGGCAAGCACTGTTTACATGTCGTGCCCTTAACTGTTTTAAAAAGAAGGTTTTAAACTGCCTAATATGACAAAGGCTGTGGTTCTCATGTACGAGGCAAAAGAAGCTGGCTGAGCTTAAAGGAGAAGGGAGGCAGATTGAGTACTGGGTGGGGAAATCTGGAGGGGAAGCCTGAGTGACAGTAATGGGACTCCAGGGAAGGGGATGATAGCTGGTTGGGCGTTTTGTGGCAAAAGCAGTGTGAGCCCAGAATAGTCTGGGCAGAGAGGACAGGGTGTTGTCTGAACATGGCGAAGAGAAGGAGCGTCTGGAGTCCTGAGGGAGGGGACCCAGGGATGTTGTGTGGTTTTTGAGGCTGAAGAGAGGGGAGAATTTAAGGAGGCAGGAATGTGCAGGAGCCTCGGAAGCAGATATTCACCTTCCTTAGAGTGTCCTTGGGAATGGTGCAGTTATTCGCTCCCTTGGGGCTGGTGTTTTTTCTTGGGGTGGTGATGGGAAGCTGAGGGGGGAGAAGGAGGAGCCCATTTGGCAATGACTGTTTCTCTCACTCCAGCAAGACAGAATTCCTTTTCAAACTGCTGTTTCCTCCTAACACTTGCTGCATCACATTTGCAGAGGCTTTCCCTCATTTACGGGCTGGTTGGCAGAGGGAAGCAGACAGTTTTTTCCACTGCCCCTGTGTGGTTGGCATCCTTACCGGAGCACACAAGAGTGCACCTGTCTGGGTTGAGTGCTCTGTGCCTGTGTGCTTTTCTGCCAGTCTCTCTAACAGGGTGCCTGTCCAGCTTAGTGTGCTTGGGCTGGTGGGAGGCTGCAGCTGAGAGCGCCTCTCTCTCACGTAGTGTTGCAAACACATGGTGACAATATGTGTGTAAGGTGTATGTGTTAACTGCTGTCCCACACAGTGACTTACCTTTGTTCCTTCTCGCTTTTATTGCCACAGGATTCAGAAGGAATTGGCTGACATCACCTTAGATCCACCCCCCAACTGCAGGTTGGTGTCGATTCCTTACGTGAGGAGGGTGGGGGAAGGTGAGGGGCTGAAGTGTGTTGTAACTGTCCTCAGAGGCTCTGGATAGAGCAGAGGAATGGCTGTTTAGGTGGCTGACTGTACTCTTGTGAATGCCTGGATGACATTAGTTTCCAGGTGTAGGGGGGATGTCCTTCAGAGATTATATGTGTTTTGATGCAAGTTTTCTGTTTGTTTTGGGGATTGTTTTGGTTTGTGGCTTGCTTGTTTGTTTGTTTTGTTGCTTTTTTTAACAGTTTCATTTTAATCCGTTACATTGTATTGTGTGTACATTTCTGAAACTCCCCTATGAAGAAGAGTGTGAAAACTTTCTGCTTGTTTGTTTTTTTTCTGGTTTATACATCTAATGCCTGGCTGCACTAATCTTATATAAATAAGAGTCCTGCCAAGGAACAAGAGAATAGTAAAATGCTACGAGCTTTTTAGCTCAGAGTGTTCTGTTGTGAACAGTAACTTACAGTGGAAGAGAAGTGTGAATTCATCACTCAGTGGGTGCCCTACAGGAGCACACTTGTTAGGTGATGAAATAAAAAGCAGGGTTATTCTGCTGCCCTTTATGGAGTAGCTTGTTTTAGCTATGTTTTAGAAGCTTGTACTGTTTGTTTCGAACACATAGCAGGTTGATTTCGTTCACTGCATGGTGGCCTGAGCCTTTTTGCATTTGGAGAGGAGACAGTACTAGTGTAATATCTTTGGCTGTGCTTGCTCATTCAAGAGGAAAGTGGCTTTCGGTCTGGTCTGGTCTGTGCTTGCTGTAGTTGCCAAAGCACCACTCTGTTCCTGTCTTCTTGCTGTGGCTGAGGTTTGAGGCCTTTTGATGTTGGTAATAGCAGAAATCAGAGAAAAAGCTGTTTATAAAGAACTATTAAAGTTGGTCTTTTTAGTATTGAGTTTTCACCAGAAATGCACAATAACCTTTTTATTGAAGATTTTGCTGCTGCTAGCCTGCAGGGAGGAATTAGCACAAGAATTAGCTTGACAGGTCCAGGGCCATTCTTTTGGTACGAGTCCCAGGGATCATAGTTATTGAAAGGAGGGATGGGATGAGGCATGTGAGTGGAGGTCTAGGCTGATATGGGGATTTTAGTGCTGTTTGGAAGATAACTGATGAGCTCTGAAATCTTTAGCTGTGACAATATTGGTTTAGCGACAGTAATGACTACCTGAATATTACAGGAACTTCCAGCTTCTGGGCTGGAGGTGTCTGTCTTGTCTGCATCCTGGCTTTGTGTCAGGATGAAGTCCACATGCTTTCCCCTCCTCCTCACACCATAACCTGATTTTCATGGGAAAGAAACCCAGAAGCACAGCTTGGAAAGGCACTGTGGCTTGCTCTCTAGATAACTGAATGATAAAGGTGCTGGGGCTGCAGTCTGAACTTCACAAAAGTTGTGGTAGTATATGCATACGTCAGGTTGCAGTTTTCATCTGAAGGATTGTTTAAATTGTATTAGAACCCTAATTTGTCCTTGTTTCAATTGGCATCATCCACAGGTAAAGATGAGCTAGCAGACCACCTGTCAAAACAGAATGTGGTTTTGACTTTTCTTTTTTTAATTACATAGACCACTGAGGATAATGCACTTAAAGGCCCACATAGTAAATAGAAATATTTATAAATATTTCTAGTGGTAAAAATTAGTTCACAGTACAAATAATGATGATTAATCTTCGCCCATAATGCAATTACAAGTATTCTGTATTCCTTAGGACCTTCAAATGAGTGACAGTGAAGGCTGGCAACCCTTGCAGATAATACATGAAACTGGTGTAATTGTTTCTGTCTCTTAATATGTTGATAGGTAGGAAAACATGAGTGGAGGGATTTGTGTGTGTGTGTGACCAGAGGAGTTTTGGTATTGTTCATCTTGGGGTGAAGTCATCCTACTTCAGTAAAGACAGTGCTGAGAGTGAAGGAGAGCAGCTCTGCTTATGGCTAAGGAGGCTCCAATGGCACAGTGAAGTACTGGGAGTGTGCTTCTGTAGCAGCTGCTTTGTAAAAGGGTAGGCAGGTGCTGATTGCCACAACACTGAGTTTCAGCTGTTGCATTTCCACCTTTTGTGGAAAAAGAAATAGAAATAGTCAATTTGTGTGTGTGAGGAGATTAAGTAACTCTGGTTGCTGTGTGATATTTGACGGTTGCCAAAATTTGCTGTAGGGAAGCCTACGAACAGTGTCACTGCTTTTATTTTTATTTAGTTTCAGTTTCCTGCCCTCATGACTTTGCTTATCCTTGCCTTTCCTTTGACCCCCGGCCCCTCATCTCTGCTGCCTTTGTGCCTCTACAGGCCTTTTTTAGGTGTCACTTAAGGGCAGCCCTCTACTTTTGAGCATCTCGCTCTCTTCTGCAAGACGCATCTCAAAACTTATATATTCGGGGAGCTATATATGATACCAGGTACTACCTGTTCTCCTGTCAGCATTAGGTTTGCCAAAGTCTCAGAAGTTAGATTTGAAAATGTGTGTCTGAAACTGTATCCTGAGTTATCTTGTCATATTCTTTTTTCCTACTGGGCATTTGTTCTTACATCCATCACCACCATCTTCGTATTTTCCCCTGTTCTGTGCTGTGCCCAGTGTTTGATAGCAGTTCACTTTTGGCTGTGCTTTAATTTTTTGCCTTGTTGCAGAGTGCAGTGGTTCTTCTAATCTTAAAGCAGTAATGGGAATTCAAGATATTGAACACATCTTAGGGCAGCTCTGCATATATTTTTTTTTTTTTCCAAGAAAAAGCTTTAGGTTGTAAATGATTTTTAATAAAAAATGTTTTATTTTTCTTCTTATAAACCAGCACATTTAAGATGCAATTACAAATAATGACAACCATTTGGTATTTCAAATAAAACAGTTTAAAACCAATTTAGTTTCATTTTAATTTTTGTAGCGTGTAGTGACCATGTTTTCATGTGTGTAACCCACAGATCATCTGTCTAACAAAAACCCCCAACCCCAAAACCCAAACACCAAGCACACCCAGCACCCTGTGATTGAACAGCTGTGTGGGTTTTACACATATGTGGGTAATATGAAGGGAAGTTTATCCCAGAACTTCCTCTCCCCTCAGTAGTTTCCCTGCTTCTGGTTTTCCATAGCTTATTTCTGTCCCTCAAGTGCTTACCTGTGCTCATCCCTCATTGACTGCTTCATCATCAGTTGTAGTCCCTTTGCCCTTCATGTCTCCCTTCCCGGCTGTGATTTGCTTTTATGCAGGCTAGTACAGTTACTTGTACAGAGGTGCAGACTATGTGCATGGAAACAGTCTGCATTTGGCCTGCATTCAAAAAACAGATTTTTGGACATGAAGATGTTCTCTGAAAAGATACTTTTAATACGTGTCAGAGATTTATGGGTTCCTGATGGAAGCAGTGCTATCCTCATAAATGGTCCTAGTACAGTGCATGTGTGGCATTTGCCCACTTCTGGTTTTATTCCTCTTTATCATTTTTGGTAGGCTTGCATTCTAGAGCTTTTTAATTTCTTGTCCACAAGATGATTTGACTTCTGATATTAATACTGGGTTATGAAAGTTAAATGTGGCTTTCAAGTTCAGAAGGTGGTTAGTGGTTAATATGAATTGGAGTATAATTGTTTGGACCTAAAGTGTCTTAAATCTTTTAAGAGAGTACCTGGTGATTTTTTTTTTCCTACTGTGTATTAAATCAGAAAGTTATAACACTTGTTTTATAACTCAGAAAGGTACTTAGAGACTTTGGACTTTTGGTCTTCTGTGTATATTGATGATGGAAGCGTATGTTATGTCTTTGCTTTGGGTCATGGGAGTCTGCATCCATGACTGTCTGCAGATGTCAAAATACAGTTCCATCTTTCTACATAGGCAGACCTGATCTTTGTAGATAACACTTGTAAGTATTGTGCCAAAACTTCATTTGTGTCACTGTGACAAAGTTACCAAAGCTTTAACAGAAGTTAACTAAAGCCTTACGTACTGTTTATTCTCTTTGTCATTAATTTGATCTCTCTATCTAAGCATCTCCTGATAATAAATCTGCTTATTGCTGTGAGGTTACGAAATAAACGTTTTCCCCTTTTAGGGATAGGGAGTTGCAGCAGACAAAAACTGAGTTGTCCAAGGTCACACAGGAAGTCTGTGGCAAAGTGGAGAAATGAATGTAAATCTCCTTTGTTTCAGGCTAACTTGCAGCTGAGCTCTTCTGCTGGAACTGTGCTCATTGGTTGCATTATAAAGTAGGGCTTTGAATCTGTGCTTTATTGGGTGTCTGGTATTGACTGTGTGTAAGCATGGTAATTTATGTTATTTTTCCCATTTGTGTAGAGGGACCAAACTGTATATTAACTATAATTAATGGGTTTTAATCTTTCTTACCCAAACTGAAACACGTTTGTCTCCACATGGCTCATTTAAGTCCAGATAGACAAGACCGGCTGTTATTTAAACAAAAATAATTGTCAAACCTTTACTGAAGGAGGCATTGCCTGCAAGGCTTAGCATTGCTTCAGCGTAAAATGCTGTCACAAATTCATTATTTAAATAATAATAAAATACAGTTGAGTTTCCTGGCTCCTTCAGCCCGTTTTCTGTAAATTCACAGAATAAAGACCAGATCTCCCCAAGAGTCTTGTGAACGTTAACTGTCAGCACTCAATAGATAATATGTCTTGGTGTAGATGGTGGGGAGAAGTGCTCTCCATTATAATGTGTGGAATATTAATGGTTTTCAAAACTTTGCAATGTGGAATCAAGATTTCTTGGCTAGAGAGAAGTGTATGGAAAACGTGTGTCTCAAAGGCAGTTTTGAACTCAATAGCTTCATATTATAATTAATACCTGTCATCTACATACCATGGTCTGGCATTTGTTTTGCTTACATTTGTTTTTATAGGCCTTGCAATTTTTTGCAAATGTATTTTCTCCCTGTCTCCAACTCCAATAAGGCTTTAAGTGCTTTTGCTTTTAAAAGTAGTGTATTATCTAAGGATGGAT